ATGAGGCGCTCGGGGCCACTACGTCTCTGTCACCCCATCCATCTCTGTTAGTGTCCAGAGAAACAGACACGCGGGGGTGTAGGGACACCTTCTGGAACATAGATAGCTCGCTCTCCGCTCCACCCTCGCCCTGCACCTAACACTCATCAGCTCTCCACCCATACCTTCTTCCCCTGCTCACCCCTTCCAGTGCTGCTCTGCACCCCAACCTCAATTCCGGAACCCCTGCCAGGCATCCCAGCTCCTCTCCAGCCTCCCATAGACACTTTTGCTCAGAATTCCATCCCTTTTCTTTCCCAAGGTTTGGATAGCCCATGTTCCCAGTCCCAGTGTCCTCCTCCAAACCCCCCCTCTCTTGGGGCACCCCTTACAAATCCCCCTTCTTAATAATGCCATCCCTTTCTCCAGGCCAACTCTATCCTCCAGAAAGGACACTCTGTTCTGGCCTCTGTCTTGGTGGCCCGGGGGGGGGGGGGGGGGGGGGGGGGGGGGAGCCCCTGAACAGGTCTCTCTGCCTTGAGGATCCGATGGCAGCGGAGATAAGAGGTGAGCGGGCTAATGCTCTTAGCAGGCAGAACAGCGGGGCATCCCCTGCGGGCCTCTGGGGCTGTCCGTTGCTTATCTGGGGCCCAAGCACAGCCGGTTCAGGATGTTCCTGCCACACCAGGGACACCAGACTCAGGTAAGAACAAAGAGTACTGAGCGCATTCTTGGTACTGCCACGGCCACTAGAGGGGTGCATGGCGCACTTTTGGCATTCCAAGGATACTAGTCCCTGACACTTCTCCCCAGTCAGCACTCCTGTCCCTACCGAGGAGCTGGCAGGGTCTGGCTCGCAGGTTTTGCTTGGTGCTCCAGGGACCTGGCACACAAGCCTCCACTCTTCCTACTCGTCTGCTCAGAAGGGCACACCACCCTGCCAACAGCATCTTCCGTCTCCCCAAAGAGGAACCCTCTGGATGAGCCCTGCACCCTTCCAGGGTGGGTAGGATACCGGTCTCTGCTAAGATAGCCCTGGTCTTTCTATCCAGTCCTCTTCTGCGCTCCTTCCTTATTCCAAGGGGACGGTCTCCTTGCTGGCTTGACACCCAGGATGGGACACACATCAGCATAACAGCTGCAGGGGTCATAGACAGGAACTTGATCCTGTCCTCCCACCCAGGCCGGGGAGGGTGGGGCACCCGGTGCCAGCCAAGGACTGAATCCATCTGGATCTACAACTGACAGGCCTGTGGGTCACTGACCCCATCCACACCCCAAGGCACAGCCAAGGGCAGCCTCTGTGCCAGCCCCTTCCATATCCTCCACAGATATCATTTAAACAAACCCTGATGCCAGCTGGCCTGCTAGGTACTCTCCAGTGCCAGGGAGTGGACACGAAAGCCAGGACCGGGCAGTGACACAGGAAGGGGGGCCAGTTACCCTGTTTATAGCTCTTCCCCTGCACCCCACCCCTAAGCATGGAGTATATCCTCTGGCTGTGCCGTATTTAGCTCAGATGCATGGCTGTTCCCAGAAGTGCCTGGGAGACGCCAATGCTCATCCCCAACCACAAAGAAAGAGAGAAGCCTGGAACATGGTTGAGCATTTATTGCAGTGCTAACAGAGGGTGCTGGGGGCCTGCCCTGCTCCTGCCCTCTTCACATCCCCCTCCCTCTAGTCTTCAAGATTCCTTCCCAGAACATTCCAGATCCCTTTTTTGTCCTACTCCGTTTCTGTAACTGAACAGGTCTGTTTCCAGGGGCCTCTCGCCCTCGTCGGTATCTCTTGTCCCTTCTTCTGGGGCTGAGGGTACTCAGCTCTCCACATCTAGGGTCCACCATCTTTGCTCCCCTTCCTTTGGGAACTCAGGACACCTAGGCATCCTGGCCTCTGGCTCTCTCCTCCCATAGCCCCCACCTCTGGGCAAACTACAAAGCGGCCATGGCCAGCAAGCAGCTCTCCTCCATGGTCCTAGCCAGGAAGGGCCCAGCCCCAGGCAGACACGGTGGAGCTGGAGTCCGTCTCAGCCTCTCTGAGCTTCCTGAGACATGGATCTAGACAGGGTACGCCGCAGGGCCCCGGGTTTGCTGACAGGTACCACGGGGGGAAGCTGTTTAGTGATCTCAGCCACGTCCTGGCGCTCCACGCACTGGCCGCCCAGGGCTGTCTCCAGTGCCAGCAGCTCCCGCAGCTGGATGGGGGTCTCCTCGCGCTCCTCCTTGGCAGCTCCCACCTTGGTGGGGGTGAAGATGGGCAGCGGCAGCACCCGCTGGTACGGCAGCTGGTATTCCTGCAGCCCACGGCCTAGGATGCCCAGGCGCATCACCAGCCAGGGTGAGCGTTGCACCACGGCCTGACACTGTCCCTGTCTGTGGTAGGTTTCATGTCTCTGAGTATCTTCCTCATGCAGGGAGCATCTGAAAGTAGAGAGAAGGGTAGTGAACTCCTGAGGACGGCTGTTCGGGTCTCAGGCTAAGTGGAGTCTCCCTGGATGGCCAGGTTTCTGGGGTTTCAGGGGAGGGCCATCAGAAACTGAAGGGCTTGAGACTCTGGTGTGGACAGGGGACTCTAGGGAAGCAAAGGCAGACTTTCCAGGTGATCTGTCACACTCACCCCTCTTCCGGCCTGGTTGACAGAGTCAGATCTTTCCACTCAGCCCAGAAGGCTTCCCGGCGTTCCTGGTTCTTCTCAGACACTTGGCAGCTCAGCTCTGAAGTGGCCATGATCCCTTCTTGCTCCCTCTGCTACGCCTGGCTCCTCCGGAGCCCTTTAAATAGCCCCCTTCTCCCACTGCTCCCCCTCTTCCAGGGACTATTTTCAGCCCCTCTGGCGTCAGATGCTATAAGCAGAGCCAAGACTCACTAGTGGAGGGGGGGGCTCTGAGTCCAGGGCGGGGGTTGGGGTACCTAGATGCTGGCTGCTCCCGGGTCAGAGGTCAGCTTCTAAAGAAAGGGAGATGCTCCGGTGGGGTCTGGGGTCCTCAGAGTGGCACCTCCAGGTATGTCTCATTCTGTAAATACCATCTCAGCCCAGGCACATGCCCAGCCTTGTGCCACCTTGGCACGGTCCTCTGCCCTGCCTGCTCCCCCTTGCCCAGGAAGGACAGCAGCTTGTCTGTAAACAGAACAGGAGAAGTAGGAATTGATGCCCCCCTCACTCTGTCCCATGGCTGCCGTCTCCCCTTCCTGGGCTCAAGGGCACGCGTACCTTAGTGAGGCCCCTTCACTAGAAAGATCATGTAACCATGTCCTCAGGCATCTACACAAAACCTGGTTCCTAACCAGCAACATACCAGCAGGGGAGGGGGCACAATTGCCACACCTGAGATCCCTGGGTAAGAATCTCTGTGTCAGTTCATTCCCTAGGATCAGCGGTTAGAGAAGTTGTCTCCTAAGGGTCATAGGTCAGGGTGTAGGAGGCAGGTGTGGGAGGTGCCACTCACTCCCAGCGGCCTATGTGGGGAAAATGGGGTGAGCTAGAAACGGTGTGTGTGTGTGTGTGTGTGTGTGTGTGTTCAGCAGTCAGGAGACCCAGCACCAGCCTCTAGCTGGATGTTTTATGTAACCAGGGGACAGTCCCTACCCTCTTCCGGTCTCACTTTCTATGTTTTCCTGGCCACAGCGGAGTGACCCGGAGAACTCTGGGACCTGGCAGCTCCGTGGTTTTACCTGGGGACTAGCTACTAGCTCTCTCACATAAAGCAGAGGACAAAGGTGTCATGAGAACACCCAAGCACCCAGGGAGCAATTCATGGTACAAGCTGGTGAACAAGAAGGTGGGCTTGGGGGTGAGGAGCGGGGGAGAGGAAAGAGGGCATTGCTGAGGGAGTAAGCAAAGGCCACCAGAAGAAGTGACAGAGGTGGAGGACTCCTGGGGATGCAGAACTGGACATGACTGATGGCTGAGGCCTCTGCCACGCCATAAATCATCTACCTCACAGCCCTACGGCACTGGTCCCTTCCCTTGGACAAAGTAGAAAATGGAGGCTCAGGGGGGCTGGAGAGATGGCTCAGTGGTTAAGAGCATTGCCTGCTCTTCCAAAGGTCCTGAGTTCAATTCCCAGCAACCACATGGTGGCTCACAACCATCTGTAATGGGGTCTGGTGCCCTCTTCTGGCCTGCAGGCATACACACAGATAGAATACTGTATACATAATAAATAAATAAATATAAAAAAAAAAAGAAAAGAAAATGGAGGCTCAGGAAAGGTTTGCCCTGTTTTACCTTGTACCCAGCCAGGACCAAGACAAATACACCTGGCTCCAAGCTAATACTCCTGTAAAATCCATAAGGGGTGGGGGGAGTGGAGGGGGAGAGAGCTGGACCTAGAAGCCAGACTCCAAGCTGTCCCTGGAGTGAGAGCAATGGGGACACGTGGACAAGTTGAGCCTTGCAGACCCAGGGTCTGTGTCTGGGGTACCACAGGTACCTCAGGAACCCTGAAGCCAGGTACTACCTCTAGGTCTGCTGTGGCTCTTTGGGCATCTCCCCAACCTCCAGCACTGACTGGGGACCCTCTCGGGAGAACCTCTGAGGGAAGGGAACCTAGAAACTGCTCAGCCTGGGTGCTGGTGAGAGAGGGGCTAGGTGGTGTTTCTCTCAAGGGCTTCCAGGCTCAGCTCTGCAGTGAGGCCCAGGTTCCATAGCAAGTAAAACTTTTATTTTATTTTATTTATTTATTATGTATACAACATTCTGCCTCCATGGATGCCTGCAGGCCAGAGGGCACCAGATCTCATTACAGATGGTTGTGAGCCACCATGTGGTTGCTGGGAATTGAACTCAGGTCCTCTGGACGAACAGTCAATGCTCTTAACCGCTGAGCCATCTCTCCAGCCCCAGGTAAAACTTTTTTAAAAAAAAAAAATAATTTATTTTTGTGGGGAAAAGGTCTATCTGTGTAGCCCTAGCTATCCTGGAATTTACTATATAGACCAAACTGGTCTCTAATTTAGGAGATACCTGCCTTTGCCTCGTAAGTGCTGGGATTAAAAGCATGCACCACCACAACCGGCATTTTATTTTTTTATTTCATGTTTTTAAATGGCTCAAATTATTACAAAGGTCCCCAAGGAGGCCTTGGGAGAGGGGAAGGACATGGAGAGGCAGAGATGCGGGACCATCCCATCGCCCCACGTGCCCTGACATCCCGCAGTGTGTACGCAAAAGGGTCACAGACCCTTTCGCTAACAGTACAAACCATCCTAGCAGTCGGAATGGAGAGAGTCTTCACCTTCGCATCAGCAACGGGCAAGCCCTGTCCCTGTGACCAAGCTGAGATCCCTAGGGAAGCATGGCGGGAGTCTCCTCCTCCAGAAGGCAGGAGGGACTGCCCTGGTTCCTCCAGCCTGGGGTACCCCAGAGTCCACATTCCCGGGCAGTACCCGTCAGTGGGAGGGTATGGCCCAGGGAATGAGGTGCTACCCGCTGCTCGGTACGGTCCTTCGTGAACAGCAGGAAGCCCAGAGTCTGTCTTTCCAACTCTGAAGGCTATGGCAGCAGTACCCTGGCCTGCAGGGTGGCGAGGGAACACTGTCAAGCTCGGGCCCCCAGCTCTCCAATGCGCTGCCGCAGGTGAAAGGCGAATTCAAACATGGTGGCCGCAAGGCTCTGGTGGATAAGGTACCGAGGCAGGCGACCCTACAGGGCAGGAAGAAGTCACAGCACAGCTAGCCTTCAACAGGGTCTCCCATCAGCAGCTCGCACTAGCAGGGGCATCCTGGGCCAGAGGGCCGATGTAGCTCTGGAATTTGCTTGGGCCCCCTGTCCTTTTACTCACAGAGGGAGGAACATGCTGTGACCACACAAACACAGCCAGGTTGGGGTGGGCTGGCAGCCCGCCATCCTTGCTGGGGACCCAGGGATCGGGAATAAGAAGGGCATCACATATGTCCCACAACTCAGGGCTAGAAGGCCACCTGGACCTTGCCACCAACCCAGTAAAGGAGACTGAAAGTGGGAGGTCCCTGAGTAGGGCAGAGAGGGGTTAAGGTCACATAGCAACCAAGACTCCATTCCACAGGGCCTGCCGCTGCCATGACCTCACCTTGAGATCCGTGTTAAGAATCCAGATGAAGGTGCAGACCCGGGGGTTGCTGGCTGACTTGAGCACAATGAAGCCTCCAGGACCATTCTCTCCCCTGAGGAGGGAAGCACCACAGGGGGCGGCTGCTGCACACCTCAGGTCCCCCAAACCACCCTCACCCCAGTCTCGGTCCAGCTGGACTGTGGTGGAAAGAGGGGCATGGATGACAATCCCTGCTTCAGTGCGGCTCAGAGCCAGTGCCAGGGGCGGCAGGACCTGCCCTCCACCCACACCCATCCCACAGTGGCAGGGAGCCCACCACCGTCCCAGTCCTTATCCGCTGTGTACAGACTCATGAAGTAAGGTAACTGTGACAGTGGCCTAGGGTGGCATGGCCTCCAGAAGAGGGAGCCTTCCCAGGAGGCAGCTGGCCCGCAGGCTGCTCTTCACCTCCCATGGCCTTTTTGCTGAGCACACTTAAGCTACTGCCACAGATAAGGAGGTGACGCAGAGGACACAAGCCTGCCCATCTCCTAGCAAGGCCACGGCAGCACCACAGAGCCCTAATCTGAAGCTCGTGAAGACAGCTCTGCTGGAGCCACCTCTTGGGGTCACCCCAGGAGTCTGATCAGCCGTGGAGGGGGTAGGGCAGCCCTCCCCGCTCTGGCAGCACCCGGACAGTCAGTGAGGACAGTTAGTCAAGGCAGAAAGGTATAACCCAGAACCCAGCACCCCCGCCCAGCTCCTCGGCCCATTCCTGGGACTATCTCAGCCAGGTGCCCACCACACATACACCCCCTCCGCCTTGGTGACGGCGGCATGGTTCCAGGCAGCAGGATTAGCAGGATTACGGCTGAGATGGGCAAGGCTGGTAGGCCGGGAACAGAACAGGGCTTTGGCCTCAGACATGGAGGGGAAGGGTTGTTCCAGGTGTACACACTGTATCCTGAGTGGGTCACAGCTCGAGGGAGGCCAGACTCACCTGACATATTTGTGCGTGGGGGGCTTGGCACAGTGTGTGGTAGCAATGCCAGATGACAGGTACCGGTCTCTGCGCCGCTCAATGCGCCGGACATTCACAAAGTCCCTGGAGGTGGGAGGTAGAGGCAGGTTAGAACAGAGGTCCCGAGCGTGGGAGGCTTGGCTAAGAGAGGACCTAGGTGCTCACCTGGGGGACACGACGCCACCTGCAGCCCCAGATGACACATCATAGGAGATGAGGGTGCTGTCCTCCACCCGCTGCAGGATCTAAGGGCCAACCAGGGAGATCTGAGGTACAGGGGAAGCCCCGACATTGCCCGGGCACCTCAGCATTCCAAACCAGCCTCTCCCTGTCAGGGACGCTATGCTATGAGGCGCTGTCACCTATGGGCCCAGGGCTGGGTATAAGGTAAGCACACTGAGCCTCTTGCCTCATGGCCTTCTCCAAAGGAAGCAGAGCAGCACCCACTATATACAGAGAAGCTAGGTCCCCTGGAGGGAACGGTTAGGTGTGACTGTGACCGATCCATGTCATAAGAGGTGGCAAGCAGGACCCGGGTGGCTCACCTGGCAGGCAGTCACTGTCTTATTCCACAGCACCATCCTCTCGGGCTGCAGGATCACTTCCTGGTACACCAGCTCAGCGGGACAGGGCAGGAAGGTCTGCAGGAGGGGGTCATGGCTGGGTGGTGCCAGAGAAGCGACCCCCCTCTAGCGGGGAGATTTGGCGGCAGGACCCCAGCAGAGCACAGGAACCCCCTTCTCTACTCACCTTCAAGATGAAGGTCTTGCCATGGAAGGGAACCTCAATGGTGTACACCGTGTCCCCATACTCCTGCGGCAAGGACAGAAGGTGACAGGGAGGAGGGTGGAGGGCACTGCTGGGGACGGGAACTTGTGGCATGGGAACAGGTGACAGGCCAGGTAGGTTTCCAACAGCCTAAGGTGAAAACCCCAGGACTCTGGGGACATCTGGGCAGCCTTCAGAACACGGTGACGGCTCTAGTGAGCAGGACCACGTGCAGAGGTCAGCTCTGTGCTCACATTGAAAGTCAGCTCAGCTGTGACTGGAACCGTGACAAACCAGAACCACAGCTCCAGGTTGCCAAGGGCTGCCAGGGGAACTGGCCAGCAAAGACCCGGGCATGCTTCCCTGTTTCCCCAGCTCGCTGCAATCTTTTTAGATAATGCTCTTTTGATCATGAAACAAAACACCACACATGAGACGCAGGTTGGCTTCCCCTCAAAGCCTGAATCCCAGGAAACCAAACATCAGGGAGACGAGGCCTGGGTGGTGGAAGATGGGGAGATAGAATCCAGCCCAGCGTGGCCTCCGACTGAATGGCTGGACCCCAGGCTGCAGCTAGCTCCAACTCTGTATCCACCACCTCCCTGGGGCGGGTTTTCGTTTACTCAACCCTCAGGTTCACTTCTTAGGGCTCAGAAAAAAGGGTGAAGACTCCTGCCACACACAGGGAGTCAGGTGGGCAGGGGCTCCTGTGGGCAGGGGCTCCCGCCACCAGCAGGGGTCAGGTGGGCAGGGGCTCTTGTAGGCAGGGGCTCCCGCCACCAGCAGGGGGGTCAGGTGGGCAGGGGTCAGGTGGGCAGGGGGTCCTTACATTGCTCCTCTCGAACTTCCAGTTCTCCTCCTGGGCCAGGATCTGATCCACCACTGCCGTGGCTTCCCTCCCCTGGCGGATGTACTCCCGCTCCTAATGGAATAGAGAGGGGTCAGCGGGGGGTCTGTGCCCTCCCGGCTCAAGTCTGTTCTTTCTCCACACACACATTCCACAACCCTTCCTTCCAGAAACCTGTCCAGCTGGATGTGGGGTTCAGGCTGGTGCCCCTGACCCTACATGCTTTCTGTGGTCTGCAGGACTGGCTGTTCCTGTGTCCTCGGGCACAGGACGGGCCAAGGGGCCTGACCAGCCCGTGGTCGGGCAGATACTCCAATAGACAGGCACTAACTGGCACTCAGAGGTCTTTCCTCTGCAGGGAAATCTGTCCAGCCTGGCAGAGCACAGCACTGACCCGTTCCCAGGCAGGGGTGGAGGTGGGCAGGAAGATACCTGGGCAGAGAAACTTTTCTTCCCAGGGACTTCCTCATCAGATTCGTTGTCAGACCCTGCAGGGAAACAAGAGCAGATGACAAAGGCAGGGGGTGGGGAGCGAGAGGAGGAGGTGGAGGGGTTCAGAGATGAGTGCAAGAGTGTGGGGGCTAAAAGTGTGTAGGAGAGGGTTGCTGGCTTTCCCCAGGGAGCCAGAGAGAAGGAACAGAAAGAACAGACCCAGCCTACCTGGCTCCCCACACAAGCCCCTCCCTAGAGGCAGCTCCCCACCCAGCAGCTCTCACCTGCAAAGGATTCTGGGGGAGAGTAGAACTGGCCCTCAGACAGAGCACCGGAAAACAGAAGAGGTCCACGGGCAACAGCAGCCTGGGCAGCAAGATACCCTGCAGAAGGAGACATGGGCAGCCATTATCCCCGGGCAAGCTTCAGACTCATCCTCGCGCTTAGAGAGGCTGATAAGGTGGCAAAGGGGCTCAGACCGACTAAGGCATGCTACTCTCCCACTCAGAGCCGAGAAGACCTTCTCAAACCCAGTCCGGCCAAGCCTAACCCCCAGCACTCACATCTCTCCTCTTCAGCCTCCTGGGGTAGGACTTTGAAATCAAGGAACCAGGTCTCCAACCAGGCCAGGACAAAAGAGACAATGGGAAGTAGGTAGCCGAATGCCCCTTTGCTGAGCAGCTGAGACAGGAAAAGAACAAGGCAGGAGGTTACCCCAAACCTAGAGCCCCCTTCTGAGGCCACCAGCTTAGAATAGTCGGACTAGTATATACCCTACGTTTGGTAGCAGCTATTTAGGGACTGGCTATGGCATATGTCTCTAAGATGAATTATATGTGTGGCAGGAAAAACTGATTCTGGCTAGGTGTGTCTCAGGTAGTAGAACGCTTGCCTAATGTGTACAGGCCTCTGGGTTCCAGCCCCAGAACTTTAGAGATCAGCGAGGTGGCACCCGCTTGTAATCCCAGGTTAGGGCAGTAGAGGCAGGAGGATAAGTTCATGGTTACCGCCATGTGAAATCCTGCTTTAATGAAAAAATGTCAGGGGTGGTGGTGCACTAGGGAGGCAGAGGCAGGAAGAGTTCTGAGTTGGAAGCCAGTCTGGTCTTCATAGTAAGTTCTAAGCCAGCCAGGGCTACATATAACAAGTCCCTGTCTCAAAAACAAGCAATTAAACAGGACTGGTAGTGGTGGCATGCGCCTTTAATCCTAGTACTCAGGAAGCAGAAGCAAGAGCACCTCTGTGAGTTTGACGCCAGTCTGGTGTACACAGCAAGTCCCAGGACAGGCTCCAAAGCTACAGAGAGCAACCCTGTCTCGAAAACCAAACAAACAAGGTTGTGTGCGTGCGTGTAGAGAAAAGATTACTAAACCTCAGGGTGGCAGTAGTGTAAGTCGGGGAAGCCAATAAGGACGACTCCTTGCAAATAATGAGGAAGAAGATCTCCTCCTCTCCGCCATAGCAGAAACAGACACCCCAACCCCTGCAGAAGAGAAGTCCACCCTCGGGGTAGATGCCCATCAGACCAGCTAGCGCCTGAGCCAGCCTGAGCCACTGACCTCCGAGAGGATGACCTTGACGATGAGGAACGCACTGGACACCAGGGTGGTGACCTGCTGGGCAGACAGCAGGGCAAGGGGGAAGGCGGAGGCTGGGGAGTGAGTCCTTCCCATGCAGCCCTCACACCAGTCCCTACCAGGGGAGGCCTCAGAGTTGCCACAGCGGGCATCTTACCGCAATCACCCACCAGTGCCGGAGCCGCAGCACAGCATAGCCCAGCAGCAGCCCAGAGAAGCGGAAGAAAGCCAGAACCTGGTGGAGAGGGGCGGCGGTGTAACATCAGGTGCCGGCTGGCCTCCACAGCTCTGCTGCAGTGCACCCCCACCTCAGGTGAGGACAGTGGCATGTAAACTTCCTACTCAGAAGTCCTCTCTCTGCCCCAACCTTGGGCTCTCAGAAGGTGGGGCCCTGCTTAGGAGCTTTGTGAGGTCTGAGGACCACCAGGAGATAGAGCTGCCCCTCCCCTTCTGGCTGTGTGTGGCATGCAGAAGGAGAACCCAGCCAAACTGCACCGTCTTGGAACCCGGGGTCACTCACAAAGATGTCAAAGAAAGAGCTCTGGAAGCTGTAGTGGATGATCTCCTGCTCCAGGTTTCTCCGGATGCCGGTGTTGGTCTAGGGAGGAAGACAGAGGGGTTCTGAGGTCCTGCCCCACCTCAAAGGATGGTGAGGAGCCCAAGCCAAGGGGATCCAGAGGAAAGTTAGAAATGATAAGCCACCATCCAGGTGGGTGAGGCTACAAGAGAGTTGAGCCACCAGCCCAAGACCTCAGGCAGGCCACACAGGCCAAGCTGGGTTCAAGTGTACTGCCTATAAAGGAGGCCTGGAGGCCGGTGGGCTGTGCAGGGGAGGTGGTAGACCCACACAAAGCTAGCAGACGTGTCCTGGAGACGCCTCTTCTGTAATCTCATTTCCTTCCTAGCACCGTGGTTCTCCATCTTGCCAGCCACCATCCACGAGGGGGGCTGGGCTGGGCAGTGGTGTTAGACAGAGCCCCAGGTAGCAAATCAATGAATTAGGTTTGTGTTTAATGGGTGAGATCCATCACAATGCTACTGCTGTGCCTTGAGAAGCCAGCAAGGAAAGTCAGCCCCTCGGCTTGCTCCTGTCCCTGCCCAGTCCACCATGGATCTTCACCCAGAGCCTTAACACCATGGCACAGATGCCAATGTCCAGGGATCTGGGAGACTAGGGACTCTGGACAGATTCCAAGAGCCAGACTGTATCCCAACTCCTCAGAGGGGATAGACATGCACCCCTGAGAAGGGAGGATTTTGGTAACGGAGCCCCAGAGGACCCTTAACAATCTGCTAGACTGGAGGTCCCCCATTCTGGCAGGTCATCTACACATTGGAGTGCTTTCCTGGGGGAGTTTGTTTGATCCAGGCTGGCTTCCAGCTCACCACGTAGATAAGGATGTCTTTAAAATCCTTGCCTCTGTTTCCCAAGTGCTACGATTACACGTGTGTGTTACAACCAGTTTGGGGACACCTGTTAAAAGATCAGGCCACTGAGCCTGGATCTTGGGGTGAGCCAACATTAGGGACCTTTAGAAATCTCCTAAGTGAGGCCAATAAGACAGATCGGTTAGTAAAGGTGCTTGCTACCTGGTAATGAGGACCTGAGTGTCTAGGTCTGACCCCAGTGCACGGGAAGATGGGAGAAGATAACAGATTCCACAGGCATGCGCCCCCCAACTCACTCTCCCTCTCCCCTAACATAAAACAAAACTAACAAACTGAACACCAATAACATCTTCAGGCAGGCACAGGGGACACACCTGTAACATCCGTGCTCAAGAGGCTGAGGTGAGTGCATGACTGAGTTCAAAGCCAGCCTGGGTTACGCATGCACCCCATCTCAAAAAGACACCTTTTCTCCCCTTTGTCTGCCCAGCAAAATGTCACACTGACTGCACTAAGAGTTCAATCCGGTATCCTGAATCTTTTCGTTACATCTGTGTTACAGCAGTGTGTTTGCGGGATAGGCTCTCTCGCATCGCATCGCGGGAACGCTCAAGGCTGCCTGATGACTGCTGAGCAATCACAGCTGTCAGCGGAAGAATTTCAAAAGCAAAATTATCAACATTCTCCCAGATCTTCTCGGGTTATAAAATATGCATTGAATTAGGGGTGTGGGTGAGCTGTAGGGCTGCTTGGATGCTATCTGGGACCTTCAAAAGGAAGACGCCCGGGACCCTAGAAGCTCAGCCCTGTATCAGTAACATAACCCAGTGCCCTCTTCAGTGGTTCCTGCATCACCCCCAGGGTACCAATTCATCTGACCCACCCTCAGGGCTCTGCCTTACCCTTCCAGTTCAATGTGATTAGAGGCAAATGGACTTCTTGCCATCTTGCTGCTAACTAACCCCTTCCCAAACTCTCCACTTATACCAAGAAAGGCAAGTCTGAGACCTGGAAAAAGGATGTTTGCCAACTCTAACTCTGACTATGAACCCACGCTAACACGGGGCCCTGGGGACTGAGACCACACATTAACAGAGAAAAAACTGAGCGGGGCCAGGCCGGGAACACCCAGTTTCAGGGCTTCTGACTTTGTGTATGCTGAGGTTCAGTCAGAAGCATTATTGGGGTGTGGACATTGCACTCTGAGACAGTTTCATCTCCAGGCCACCAGGCAGATCCCCCCAAACCAGGGCCACTAACCAGGAACTGGGAGTTTTCACCCCACTGTATTCTCTGCCTTTAGCACAGCACCTGGGGCACCGCAGGGCCTCCGAGCACGTTTGATTAATAGATGGATGAACTTGAGCCAGAGAGCAAAGTAAGGCAGAAAGAAAGAAAAAAAATATCCTCTGCTCGGCTGGCTGGAGGCATTTCTCCTCCTGTTCGCAGAGTCACCACTAGGGGGCAGTATGATGCAGAAGCCGAGCACACAGCTCTGGAGCTAGAGATCTGTTGGCATTCTTGCTGGGGAGCCTAGGACAACCCCTCTGATCCCCTCGCCCCCCAGGTACCGTTCCCTCTCTTTACGTGGAAAATAACTACAGCTATTCTTATTTTCCGTTCTCCACTTAACTCAGATCAACTCCATGAGTGAGGCCCAACGACCCTCACATGCTGCAAGCAGGTGGACTAGGAAGCAGGTGAAGGCCTCCCCCACGTGACCCCCAACTCACATTTAGCTCGATGATCCATAGGAGGGAGATGAAGAGCAGGTCGAAGGTGACAAAGAGACAGAAGGTGCGGCGGACGTCGGAGATGGCCCTGCGTCTCTCCGGGGGTGGTGGGATGAGGTGTGATGTCAGGCTCTGGCTGCGGGACAGGGAACTGCCCAGGGAGGCCAGGGCTGGCAGACTGCGCTCCAAGTCACAGGCCAGCTCACTAGGCAGCTTGCTCATCCTGGTGGGCCCCCACGTTGAAGTGGGGACAAGGAGGCCTCAGCCGCAGGGCTAGGGGAAGAGGGAAGTGGCTGTCAGGGCCCTGGAGGTCCAGGAATACCACCTCCCAGGTACCCTACTCCCCTGTCCTACACCAAGGCCCATAGCTCTGCTCAAATCCTCTTATGAATAAGGCATTATGAGGCAGCAAGATTTGAGCATCCCCCTTGCTCAGTCCTGCTGCCTGAAGGTTCTGGGATGCCCTAGCGGGGCACTTACTCTGGATCTTGGGGCTATAGTCTGTTCCTGCACTCGCTGAAGCTCAGCCCCAAGTCCTGTCAACAGCATCTGGCCAGCCCCCACGCCCAGGAGAAGAGGGCCCCAGGCTCTGTTCTTTGTTCTCACAGGACAAAGCCACATTCCCTCCCAGCGGCAGGCCGGCCCCTCCACCCCTAATCCGTGGCAACTGGGAGGGATTCTGGAGCCTTGTCTCAGTGGGTCTGGACCTAGCACACCTTGGTCCCTGCTCGGTAGCTCAAACACCCATGCCAGGCCCGACTGCTGCTAGCTCTTCACCTTCGACAACCCTTCCTCACAAGGCAGCTGGAGGAGTTGTTCAGAAGCAGAAACCTCCCTCCCTCCACCTCCCACCCTCCCTCAGCTCCCCAAATCCTGGCAGGAGGGTGGGTGAGGTAGGGTGGGCACTGTGCCCAGCTCTGCGAACTGGGCAACACCCTGACCCCTGACTTATCACAGCCACTTGGGCCTTTGGTTGCGTCCCTCCATGTGGTAGCCTGGTCTGTCTCCAGCCCTAGAGTCTGGCCTTCCTGTTGTCTGGAATGTTCTTCCCCAGCCCTAAGGCTCTGCCCACACAGTGGCCCTTCCCAGCCTCCACTCACAGTCAGGCACCGCCCACCGTTTCCCTTCCTTCAGTGAGCTCACTGCTATCTGAAATCTCATCTTCATGCTTTAGCCTTTCTCCCACTGGACAGTGACGTCCAAGGGCAGGCACAGGGCTTCGGTTGACTTGGTCACTGCTGTCTCTCAGGAGCTGGCACCATGTGTGCCAGACAACAGGTCCTTCCTAACTGACTGTTGGATACATGAACACTGCAGAAGTCTCCTGGCCCTCAGCTCCATGATGCACAGCAAATCTAATCCAGGGTTGTTGCCCACAGTCCGCATGGCCATGGCCACCTTTGTGCCCAAGCAGGACAGGATAGATCTTCATATCGGTGAGACAGTCAAGGCTCTGGAACAAGTGGACGTATCTAGGCCTGAGCCTCCTATGCAACCGCAGAAACTCTGATGAACTCAAAGACAAAGTGAGTCTCAGTCCTCTGGTGCCACAGAGACCCCATGACGAAGTTCCAGGAGGCACTGATCTGCTGAGCTCCCTGGGTAGGGGCAGAGAGCAGCTAACTCCAGCACGAATCAGAGCAGCAGCTGGGGGGGGGGGGGGGGGCTAGTGGAGGGGGAGTCCTGGACATCTGTCCACATTCACAAAGGTGGATGGAGCCACCACCCTCTGCTGGTGTTGTCGATTTTAAACTTCTTTTCCCTCTGACACTTTCCGGGTCCTTAACCTACCAAGTCCTAAAGGGGACTCAGTTTGTGGCCAACAGAGGGTTCACCCTCTGCCTGAGCAAACCCCACAAACAGAGGCAGACAGACTGCTCTCAGCAGAGACCCCAAAGTCACCTGAAAGAACCTAGGACACCCCAGTACGTGGTCACCTAGAGAGTGCTGGGGGAGTTCAGCTCAGCTCCAGAAGAAGCCGTCAGTAGAGGGGATGTGACAGGCCAGGGCCAATGGGACTCGCCAGCATCCATCATGGGCTCGATGCCAGACTGGAGACTCGGCACATCCCTCCCTGTGACACAGCTCCAGGGCTAGTGACATTTTCTCGTGTGCTCTCCCACTCCCCCTGCCTCTCTGGCTTCATCTCCTCCTGTCTTTCACAAAGTCACCTTCTACCAGCAAATCCGCCATGCTGACAGGAACTCTGCAGTTCAGAGCAGCTTAGAACCCACTTTTGTTTTTTTTTTTTGTTTTGTTTTGTTTTGTTTTTTGTTTTTTGCTTTTTTCGAGACAGGGTTTCTCTGTGGTTTTGGAGCCTGTCCTGGAACTAGCTCTTGTAGACCAGGCTGGTCTCGAACTCACAGAGATCCGCCTGCCTCTTGCCTCCTGAGTGCTGGGATTAAAGGCGTGCGCCACCACCGCCCGGCTCCCACTTTTGTTTCTTCCAGACAGGGTTTCTCTGTGTAGCCCTGGCTGTCCTGGAACTCGCTCTGTAGACCAGGCTGGCCTCGAACTCAGAGATCCGCCTGCCTCTGCCTCCCGAGTGCTGAGATTAAAGACATGCACCATCACAGCCCAGCTGTTTTCTCTCTTTCTTTTCATCTTTCTCCCAGAGATTTGAAGGACAGGGTCTCCTGTAGCCCAGGCCTGTGGAGCCAAGGACAGCCTTGAGCCTCTGATTCTTCTGCTGCCACCTCCTGAGTGCTAGGAATAAGGCATGCACCACTACGCTGGTTCATGCTGGAGAGTGAACCTGGGTGCTAGTGCATGGTGCCCAGACACCCTGCCAGCTGAGCTACACTCTCAGCCCAGTTTGCATAAAAGAGAAATGTGGGCTGTGCGGAGTGATGCGGGCCTATAAGCCAACTGAGAAAAGAAGACAGATTCAAGACCGGCCTGGGATACAGAGTGAGATTCAAACTCCCCCTCACCTGACGCACAAAAACCCAAACTCAAAGCAAACTCTCCATCCACAGGAATTTGGGGTGGTGACATAGCCCAGAAATAGAACCCCTGACTGGCATGTGCAAGAAACCCACAGTTCAACCCCCAGCATAACAAAGAAGTAAAAAAAAAAAGGAAGAAAACAAAAAAACAAAATTTAAAACATAGAAGTATCATGCCCTCCCCAGCTTCCGGAATCCAGAAGTCTACATTCAGAGTTGTCTGAAGTGTTCGGCTCCCCTGCTTCTGGCAGTGTGGTGCCAGGCAATCTGGTACTCCCCGGCTTGAGGGCTCTACTCCACAGTCCTGCCCAGCACTCTCCCATGTCTCACCAGTCACACAGAACCACTTCCTGGGTTAGGGGCCACTCGCTCCAGGGTGACTGCATCTCATCTGTGACAGCCCCATTTCCAGATAAGGTCACATCATGTAGTACAGGGGTATAGGACACATGCCTTTCCAGAGACACAATACAATCCATAACTATACCCTATTTTTAAAATTATTATTCCAGGCCGGGGTGGTGGTGGGCATACCTTTAATCCTAGCACTCAGGAGGCAGAGTCAGGCGGATTGCTGCATTTGAGGCCGGCCTGGTCTACAGAGCGAGTTCCAGGATAAGCTCCAAAGCTACACAGAGAAACCTTGTCTCAAAAAAATCAAGAAACAAAACAAAAACGAAAAGGTGCTTGCTGCCAAGCCTGGTGACCTGAGTTCAATTCCTGGGCCCTCACTTGGTATGGTAGAAGGGGAGCACCGACTTCCACTAGATACCCTCTGACCTCTACATGCTGTGGCTATGTGCCCCTCCCCCCATGCATGCATGCACATCCAAAATAACAGGGCTGGAGAGGTGGCTCAGAGGTTAAAAACATTGTTTCCTTTTTAGAGGACCTGGGTCGTCCATAATGGTGCTTGCCTTTAAAGGGTCTCTGTGAGTTCAAGGCCAGCTTGATCAACACAATGAATTCCAGGACAGCTAGAGCTACACAGTGAGATACTATCTCAAAAACAAACATGAATAAATGAATAGATAAGTAGGTAAGTAGATAGATAGGTAGGTAGGTAGGTAGGTAGGTAGGTAGATAGATAGATAGATATATAGAGAGGACCAGGGTTCAATTCCCAGAACCCATGTGGCAGCTCAGAACCTTAGTTCTAGGGGATTTCACATCTTCTTCTGACCTTCATGGTCACCAGACATACATGTGATACACAGACATACATACAGGCAGAACACCCTTACACATTGGCACTGCCTCCCGAGTGCTGGGATGAAAGGCGTGCGCCACCACCGCCCGGGGCCTTATTTTGTTGTTTTGAGATTGGGGTTCATGCATCCAAGGTTTGCCTCAAACGCTACAAGTAGCCAGGGATGCCTTTGAATTTCTGACCCTCTTGCCTTCCCCTGCAAGATTAGCCAACACTCTAACAGCTGAGTTACTGCCCAACAGAGCAACCTTCTTCATTTGCTTATAAAACTGACTGTTACTTTTTTAAGACTAGTTCTCCCTACCTAGGCCAGGCTGACCTCAAACTCAAAATCCACTCTTGCCTCCTGAGAGCTGGAATTCACAGTCAAACCACCACGCGAGCCTTAGTACTCTATAAATACCCTTTCCCCACCCTGTACTGGGGATCGAAGAAGGCTGTGTGCGGTGCGTGCCTGGCAAGCACTGTGCCGCTGGACTGTATCCCCAGCCCTCGCAACTGCAGCTGACAGATGAAATACATCTTACCGAATCCATGGCCTATGGACAAACATTTATATTTGTAATGAGCAGAAACACTACATTGTGTTACGTGGTATGTGTACATTTTCACGCTGTCGGGAGTCTATCTTCCAGATAAGAATTCCCTAGAAGCAGTATTGCTGGGTCATCCTGCATGTGTGGTTTTGTTAGGCACTGCCAAATTCCCTTGGCAGTTGGCATTCCTGGCGTAATGTATGAGAACGCCTGTTTGCCCACAGCCCACGGGAAATACTGTCACCCATGTCTGTCTGGGCCTTCATCTCCATTTCTCCCCCACTCGGGAGCCTCTCTCTGCACCCCAGCATCCCTGTGCCTCTCCCTTCCTCTCTCATCTTTTATTCTCCGCCCTCCCCCACTTTGCCTAGCTCACTTCTCAGTGCTGTGGCTTCTCACATGGTCCTCTCCTCTTACTGGCATCCCGTCCCTCCCTGGGCACAGGACTTCGGTGGCAGCAGCTTGGGTGTGAGACACACTTGGAGCACAACCGCCCTGAAACTCACACCCAGACATCCTTGTGGAGGCGAGAGACTCAGAGCCGAGCTGAGAGCAGAGGTGCTGGGGGCCTGGGGGAGC